TTTTGGGGTTTTTTTTGGCTACCATTTGCTTGAAATATCTTTTTCCATCTCTTCCCTCACAGTCTCCGTGTGTCTTTAAAGCAAATGTAACTCTCTTATTGGCAGCATATCATTTTTCCAAGTTTTTTATCCATTCAGCTATTTAATGTCTTTTGATTGGAGAATTTAATCCACGTATGTTTAAAGTCATTATTGATTGGAAATGACTTACTATTGCCATTTCCTTAATTTCTTCTTGCTGTCGTGTAGACTCATTCCTGGTTTCTTATCCTGTTGACTGTTTTTTTCTGATGTCTTTTGGAATCCGTATGCTTGACCTCTTTATCATGTTCTTTTGTGCAGTTACTATAGGTTTCTCCCTTTTGGTTATAATGGGTCTTACATAAAATATCTTAAAATTATAACAGCTTATTTTAAACTGGTAACAACTTAACTTTAATAGCACTCCTAAACTTTACACTTTCTCCTCCCCTCCACACTTTAGGTTATTGACGTTACAGTTTATATATTTTTTCTCTTCTGTTAATACTAACAAATTATTGTAGTAATTGTTATTTGAGTTATGATTATTGAGTTATTTTACCTTTTAACTTTTAAACTAGAGTTTAAGTGCATTAAGCACCTCCTTTTCATTGTTACAGAATCTAACTTTTTGACTATATACTTAACATTTCAGTTAGTTTTACACTACCTTCTTATTGTTTTATGACGTTAATTGGCCGCCTTTTACTTCCGTTCAGGGAACTCCCTTTAGCATTTCTTGTAAGCAGGTCTAGTGGTAACAAACTCCCTCCACTTATGTTTGTTTGGGAAAGTCTTTATCCATTTCTGAAGGACAGTTTTATCAGGTGTAGAATTCTAGGTTGATCAGGTTTTTGATTTCAGTATTTTGAACATACCATCCCATTCTCTCTAGGCCTGAAATTTTTCTGTTGAGAAATCTGCCTGTTACCTTATAGGGATTCCCTTGTATGTAACTTCTTTCTCTTGCCATTCTCAACATTTTCTTTAATTTCTGCTAATTTAATGATAATGTGTTGTAGTGTAGCCTTATTCAGGTTCAACCTCTTTGAGGTCCTTTGTGACTCATGGATCTGGATGTCCATTTCTCTCCCCAGGTTTGGGAAGTTTTTGCCCATTACTGCTTTAAATATAATTCCTGTCCCTTTCTCTTTTCCTTCTGAAATTTCCTTCTGCCATCATGCAGATATTGTTTCTTTTGATGGTGTCCCATAATTCCTGAAGGTTTTTTTCATTCCTTCCCCCCTCCCAACTCAATAATTTCAATGTCTTGCCTTCTAGATCACTGATTATTCTGCGTGGTCAAGTCTGCTTATGAATTTCTCAATTTAATTGCTCAGTTCAGTTATAGTATTTTCCTGCTCTAAGATTTCTGGATTTTTTTAAAATTTATTTATTTATGTTTGGCTGCCTTGGCCCTTCGTTGCTGCACGTGGGCTTTCTTTAGTTGCATTGAATGGAGGCTACTCTTTGTTGAGGTGTGCAGGCTTCTCATTACAGTGGCTTCTCTTGTTGTGGAGCACGGCCTCTAGGTGCACAGGCTTCAGTAGTTGTGGCTCGTGGGCTCTAGAGCGCAGGCTCAGTAGTTGTGGTGTGTGGGCTTAGTTGCTCCACGGCATGTGGGATCTTCCCAGACCAGGGCTCAAACCCATGTCCCCTGCATTGGCAGGTGAATTCTTAACCACTGCACCACCAGGGAAGCCCTGGATTGTTTTTAGTGGTTTTCATGTCTTTGTTGAACTTATTTGTTCATGCATTGTTTTCCTAACTTGGTTTAGCTGTCTGTGTGTTTTTGTAGTTCACTGAACTGCTTTGAGGGTTAATTTGAATTATTTGTCTGATTGTTCCTAGATCTTCATTTCTTTAGGGTTAACTTTTGGATCTGTATTAGTTTCCTTTGGTGGTGTCATGTTTACCTCCTTTTATGTGATCCTTGATTCCTTACATTGGAATCTGTGCATTTGAGTAAGTGGTCCTCTCTTCCAGACTTTACAGGTTCCCATTGTCAGAGAAAAGTTAATCACCGGTCAGCTCAGTCTGGGCTGCTGGGCATGTCTGCTGGTGATATTCTTGGGCAGGTGGTGCTTGCTATCTTGGTATATTTTTGGGTGTGACCGCTGCCAAGTTCTGAGGTTCAGGGGGTGGGTGCCACTGGCTGAAAACAGTTGCATAAAACTGCTGGCTTGATTCTCTGCTCAAGTGAGGCTAGAGGATGGGCTCTGCAGTTACCTGGGTTCTCTGGTCAGGCTTACTAGGCAGTCAGGATTGGGTACTATACACAGCAAAGGTGGACCTATGAATTAGCTTCCCTGCTCCGGCAGGATAGCAGGACTGATCTCAGGGCCTGCACAGCTTGTTTTCTGGAGACCCGAATCAGGTGACTATGTACTGAATTCCCTGGTCAGGTGGGGCCAATGGTTTTATTCTGCAAAAACCATGGGATGTGCTCTCTGTGTCAAGCTCTACGGCAAGCATGGCTGTTGGATGGGCTCTACAGCTTCCGTGTGCTCTAGTTAGGTTCCCTTTGGGTAGGCTGAAGGCTGTATTCAGGAATTGGTGGGGCTGCAAATGTTTCCCTGTTGGGGCACAGTGGGAGACCCAACCGCAAGGCCAGTAAGGCTCTTTGCGGTCTTGACTCAAGTTATCCTGTGCCCCAAGTTCTCTGGCTGAACAGGGCCACTGGATTGCTCTACAGACTATCAACTCTGCCTACTGATCCTCTACTTGTGCTGCTGGGCTGTGCAGCTTCCAGGCATTCATGCCAGCCTTTCTGGTTAGGCAGGGCCAAGAGCTACACCCAACCTGCCAGCTGGCCTGTGGCTAAGCCCCCCTGCCTGGATTGGGGCAGAACAGGTTCCACAACTACTGAGGCTCTTCATTTGAGGGCCTGAATCAGATAGACATGTACCTGCCAAGTTCCTGGTCAGATTGCTCCACTGACTTGGTTCTGCAGATAAGCAAAGCTGCTCTTGGCACTTGGGCACTGCAGGTATGAACTCAATCTCTCAAGATCTGAATGCTGGTGATTTTAAGCCTCTCCGCCTTCTCCATCACTGTCAGATTCCCAGTGGTCAACCCCTGAAGATTCTCCTGCACCCTCCATTGGAGACCAGAATAGCAGCTCCCACAAAGCAACCCACAGTGCTGGGTGTCACCTGGCCTCTTTTTTTTCCACAACAGGCTCACAGCAAGGTGCTGCTCCAGCCGGCGGGGGCGGGGGGGGGACAGTGCAGTCAGTGTGTATCCACTCCTCTTAACCATCTAATGTGGTCTGTCTTGGTCTCTGTGGCACTGGGAGATGCTTAAGCCTCATCTCCATGGCCTGGAATTCCCTCAGTGGCAGCTTGTCCATGAATAGTTGTTAGCTGGCCTTCTTGTGAGAGGGAGCAAAGTCAGGAACAACCTATGTTGCTACCTTGGTGACATCACTCTCTCTAAAATACCTTAGTATATGCAGAATGAGTCAGGATTTGTATTACAGCAGTGGTTTTCAAAGTGTGGTCCCTGAAGCAGCCATAAGTATTTTTACAGTATTTAAAAACGTATGTGGTCAGTACCTTGCTTGAAGACTAGCTTAACAATAATGACATCTCTGGCTTTTATCCTAAAAATACTAGAAGGTAAACCTAGTTTATGGTTTCTCAATTTTGGGAGTTAGAATAACCAGTTATCACAAATATATTTTCATACCAGCAGCAAAGCCAAAGCAGCCCTCTCAAACTAAAATGAAAAGTAAGGCATAAAATAGTTTCCCTTAAACATAATATTGTAAAATTAAAAGTATACTAGGGCAAAGTCCTCATGCCACTATTTGAATTCAGTTAAATTAAAAAAATAATTATAAGTGATTTACCCATAACTTCCTGAAGCAAATATTCAGGACGTTTTGGAAGAGAATGGTTTACCAAGTTACACATTCCATTTGACTTCTATCTCTGTAACTTGTTTGCTGGGATGATCCTGGATAAGCAGCTTAATCTGATTTGGTTATGTCATCTATAAAAATAAGTGCCTACTCCATTGCCTAACTAACAATAGGTACTTATCACATAAATGTTAGCTTCTCTTCCCTTTCCTACTGCTTTAAATCCTTAAAATGAGTTCACTTTATGGATAGTTGCAAAGATTTCCTTGATCCTTAAATTTTTTAATTTCCTTGATAATGACCTTCGCCAATTTTGTTTCTGTTGCCATTTTTTCCCCTCTTCCAGTTAATTCTGAAACAAAGTATAAATTTAACAGGGCTTTTCCTGGGCCCTAAACCACATTTTTCTTGTCTATTGAAAACTATTAATAGTTTGTCTTTTGGCAAGTAAATCCCCAAATCAATATCCTACTGTCTTTTGGCATGTATCCCTTCCCCCACCAAAACAAAAGAGAAATCCCTCGTCTGGAGATCATAGGCTCAGAATAGCAAAGAGTAATGAGTAAATTTTTTTTTTTTTTTTTTTTTTACAAGAAAAGATACTCCTGCAGGTCAAGGGTAAATTAAACTCCCCACTGGAGAGGTTTCCTTATGAACACAGGCCTTAACTTCCTGCCTATTACTGCCAATGTATCCTCTCCCCCAAATATTCTGAGTTCTTTAACCTTGAAGTTAAACTCTGGTACACAGTCGACCCTTGAACAACACGGGTTTGCACTGTGCAGGTCCACTTATACACAGATTGTTTTTCAATAAATAAACAGAACAGTATTACATAATCAGTGGTTCGATGGTCTCTGATGTGGAATTATGGATATGGAGGGCTAACTGTAAAGTCGTACGTGGACTTGAGACTGTACAGAGGGTCAGCTCCCCTAAACCCTCATTGTTGAAGGGTCAACTGTATTTGAATGTTATAGTTCCACTTGAAAGATGGTGTTTGAAGCTGCTATTACATAATTCTTGGCACCCAGTAGCCAGTTGAGACAAAAAGGAATATGGGTCCTTCTAATATAATATGAATATGATTAGCATTAAAAAAAATCACTTGGGATATAAGTCGAGGTATTTTTTATTTATGACATATGTACATACGTACAAAATTGGCTTTATCCAATACATCATCCTGCATAGTATCTTAAAAAACAATACCATACTCTAGGAGTAAAAATCTGAGTTTCTTAATTTATGTGTAACCTACCATCTTTCAGAACACAGGATATTACCAATTTGGTTTCACAGAACACAAATTCCTGTTTAGAATTTTTTCTAGCCAAGGAACAAAATAAATTCAACAACATCTTAAATTAATTTAGCTGACCCTGAGTATACTACTAATTTGCATAACTTGAATTAATGTATATAATACACTTTCATCTGTACTGTTATCTACTTATATTTATCATACTACCATTTTGTCTATATCCATTCATCTCAATTTTCTACCTCATTAATCCTTGAGAGAAAGAACAAAGAATGGGGAAGTAATAATAAGAGGTTCAGAGGAGAAAACTACAGGTATTATTAGCTCAAACTTTTCCACCCAGAAGTCTGGGGCCCAGCTCTAAGTCCAGGGTTACCTGATAAACTTAATAACAAGACGATATTGATCTGAGTAGTCTGAGTACCTTCTGTCAATTGAGGCTGATGTAAAATTACTCTTCCTGCGTTTCTTCCTGTTCTCTTTCACAACACTTAATTAAAAAGTATACAAACTGAGCTTCCCTGGTGGTGCAGTGGTTGAGAGTCCGCCTGCCGATGCAGGGGACACGGGTTCGTGCGCCGGTCTGGGAGGATCCCACGTGCCGCGGAGCGGCTGGGCCCGTGGGCCATGGCCGCTGAGGCTTGCGCATCCGGAGCCTGTGCTCCGCAACGGGAGAGGCCACAGAGGTGAGGGGCCCGCATACCGCCAAAAAAAAAAAAAAAAAAAGTATACAACTTATCAAATTCAGTAAGTAGTTCTGGGAGCACTTCGAAAGAAAAGAAAACACAAACATGACCAAAATAGTAGTGGCAAAGAACTGTGTTAAAGATAGGTTGTCCCAAGATGCTTGAGGGTAAAACTCCCCAGCTCAACGCTCCCAAAAAATGCTAGTGCAAGAATTATAAGGAAACAAGCAAGAAAAGAACAGGGCAGCTGGATGATTGGTGAAGGGAGCCGTGGCCTTAGGTTGATGACCAGCATATCTCATGCCAAAATACCAACAGTAAAAGACCTCCTGGCTCACGCTGCCCTGGTGTGTGAGAGGTAATGAGTTACTTTTCTTGCCCCTTGTACAAGAGGGAAATCCAAGAATGAAAAAGTAAACAAGAGGCTGGGAAAGTTGACTGTGGAGTCAGTCATGCACTGATGCCTTTCAAAGATAACTCTGGGCCAGAGAAGGAATAAGGGGCCAGAACGAGATGATGTATTTATCTTTTCCATCTGCCCTTCCCTAGTCCTCACCCACTCACAGAGAGCAGAGGGTGCAAATTACCAGGTGCAGGGAAATCATCTGCACCCAAACCAGAGTAACTCTGCCATTGCTGCCTGGGGGTTCGAAGAAAGCTGTCCTCTAATGGGATGTCAATGTTAATGATCCTACGAAAACCGCCCTCAAAAACATAAACTAAGATATTTGAGACCTCGTAAAATAAAAAGAAAATTTTATCTTTAGGATCTGTAAAATTTCCCTATAATAGGGGAAAAAAGCAGAAATACGAACTACGGACACATGTTCCTTCGTTCCTAACAGTGATGTGTCATCAGGCCAGTGCCATGATAAAGGGTAGCTTTTTAAAATAAAGGATAAAAACAAATGGTAGAGAAAGGCTTCTCTTATTCACGAAAGACGGAGAAAACATGAGATGAAGTGTTCCATAAATACCAATAAAAAGGGAATATAAGTATTCCTGTGTCCCTATTATGCTATAGCAACCGGCTACATCTCTCTTCTTTCTCTCATTACTTTTAATGACACAGAAGACTGAATGACAACTATACAGTGCATAGAAATGAACACATAACACAGATGGAAAATTAGTACTTAATCTTCTCATCCTCAGGTAAAAAAAAATAGAAATCAAACAAGTACTTGAAATATTAATACAAAGCAAACAAACATTACATGAGATGACAGCACAGGATGACAGCTTCAATACCTTAAAAGATTTTATAAGATTGTGCTGATTCTTTTACATCTAAAGAATTATATAGAAGAGTAAATAAAAATTAAATTACGTTTATATAAGAAACTATCTTCAAAAAATTATTTGAACTTTCATATATAGAGTTCAAAAGTATATGATGAACTATTTTTGATTTGTATAAATCCCAAAATGGTAAAATATATTATCTGGGGGAAAAAGAAGCTTTCATTAAATACAAACATAATGGACTAAATAAACCAGGTTCACTATAAAACAGTTTCTTGGAAAACTTCCATAAAAAGTAAAGGCAGAATGGCACGAAGTTAGAAAAGCTGTGTTTAAGGCAAACTAAATAAGTAGCCTTAAAGTAAGTCATATGATCCCATAAACAACAAAGTAATTTCCTCTCAAAAATTTCTCTATTACAGTTGGAGAAATGAATTAAAGCAGAAGTAATGGCTGTTGTCAGAGTTACCTGGAAGCACTGAATACCATTATGCAAAAAAACCCAAATGCTTCTAATTTAAATATGCTTGACTCATTTGCCCCTTAGTTGTCATAGAGCAATGAAAAAAAAAAAGCATTATCCCAGTGTTCATCGTACAGTATGAATGTGAAATGCTGAAACATTAAAAAAAAAAAAAAAAATTTTTCAGGCTATGTGTATAACATGATAACCAAAAAGAAAATGATCGATTCTGTTATTCTGGCCTATGTTAAAAATATGCATAGACAAGTGCACCATCTCCCTACAAGTAGGCGTCTTAGAGTCTCTTGTTGAGCACATGGCTTAGCATCAGACCTGTGATCACATGGACACACGAAAAGCTTCCAAGACGGACAGGGAAGAGATTAATCATGAATTAAAAGAAACAATGCTTTTAAACAGTGTTCGGTAAACATGTTCTTTAGTCAACTATTTCTTAAAAAACAAAATAATCAAGTACATATCATTAAGTTAAATATCTTAGCACATGAATTTGCACCTTATAAATCTGGTGTATCAAACTGTCCTATAAAAATATTTATATATTTTTTGAAAACTATGGTACGTGCAATTATATAATCAGAAGAAGGATCTGTTTCTTTTCATCTACTGGAATGACACCATGCCTTTCTAAGAAAAAAACTGCAGCCTACAGGAAAATGATCAAAACAGCTGGACTGACTGAAGTTGTCCAGTTTAAGAAGGGACTGTCTCTTCTCCACCAGCAGCTCAAAGTTAGCAAGTGTCAGTATCCCAGGCCAGCCTTCTCACATGGTCCCGGGGGACAGGCGCTGTTTATACATGCCTGCTACTGCTTTGGCTGCGCTGTAGATCATCTGCCGACGAGACATGCCAGTGAAAGTCATATGCCAATCAGTCCGGCTGACATTGAGTAAGCTCTTCTCCAGGACTTCGCCCACTGTCACCAAAAGGCCCGACCACCTCAGACTGTAGTCCTGGGGAGTTAGACTTTGAGCCTAAGGAAAAAAGAAATCGATATTTTAATACATTAAAAAACATCACTGGAAGTAGTTATGTCATAAGTGACATTTCAAAGTCTCTCAGGTTACTTCTCATAGAGATTATGACAGACCCTGAGAAACACGGCTATGCTGCCAAATGTATGAAGTTACAAGGCTACAAAAAAAAACACAAAACAATATTGCACACATGGACGTGATTTACAATGTCCACACTAAGCTCATTTTGTTGTTTAAATACAATCTAAGTCTTAAAGCTAATGACTCTATCTAACAGAGCTCAGTGTCAGAGGGCCTAAGTGTCAGTTCTATATTCAGTGTCACTTTAGGTTAATAAGATTAGTGCTAAGATAGAAATGTTACTTTTATCTTTTTACAGTAATAAAATTCCTTACAATTACAAGAAAGAGAGATAATACTGCATATTAAGGCTTCAACCCTATCAGAAAAGAATTGTTAAATTAATCTGCAGAAGAGTATTCCTGGAAACTTCATTTATGTGTGAATAAGTTAGTACCAATATATATCAAATAACATCCAGTCCAGGAGAGAGCATCAACCACTGTTACATCACTTGTACTTGACCCAGCCCACATCTGCTCCATGGCAATCATTTATTCACCTACACAGGAATGAAAAAATAAACTCACTGCCTGATATCCAAGAATGATATAGTTTTTTGGCTTTAGGGTGGTAAGTATAGTCCAGAGGAGTATATCCATATGTAGAAAGGATCCATGCAGTGATTCCCAAATGTGCTGTATATTACAATCCCCTGAGATGCATTTTTTTTTTTTTTTTAACAAAACCACTTTTCATGCTCCACCTAAGACCAATGAATTGGAAACTCACAGATGGTTCCAAGAGAAAGAGCACAATACTTATAAAATAGTTTCTGAGAAATTTTGCTGGGGAGCCTGCTCTGTCTTCCCTTCCACAGGGTACACTGCACTATCAGTATTCTACTATGTTTTAAAGAGAGACAGTAGATAAACCACTATGGTCCTCAGAACTGTGTTTCTCAAATGCGATGTGCACATGAAGCATCTGGGGAGCTTCTAAAGTTGCAGATCCTAATTCCATAGCCTTAGGTTAGGGCCCAAGAGTACTTTTTTTTTTAAGACTAAATGGGCAATGCACAAATCCTTTTTTTCCAGTTTTGAGATAAAACTGACATATATCACTATTTAAGTTTAAGATGTATACCACAATGGTTTCACTTACATTTATTATGAAATGATTACCATGATAATCACCCCATATTTAGATACAATAAAAAGAAGCAAAAAAAGAAAAAAACCTTTTTTCTTTATGACAAGACCTCTTAAGATCTACTCTCTTAATAACTTTCATATAGCATACAACAGCGTTAACTACAGTCACCATCCTATACATCATATCCTCAGTACTTATTTCTCCCGTAACTGGAAGTCTGTACCTTATGACCACCTTTCTCCTACCACCCTTCCTCAAGCGTGCATTTTTAACAAGTTCCCAGGTGATGATTATGATGCTAGGCCTAGGATCATACTTTTGAGGATCAAAATACTTGACATTATCAGCTAACATCTAGAAACTGGGTTTTTAATTGGGGGAGGAGGGATCATTTATATTTGTTTAACCAGCATAAACTGTATAAAATTTTTTCCTGATTTTCACTAATATATTGATATATGCTGATTATAATCCCCTTAAGGGCTGATTTCTAGTCTCTTAAATTCTCTTAAAAAATTTCAACTACAAGGGAACATAGAATTGAACATCTTGCAGTGGATAAAACAAGAAACAGCGTAGAACTGAAGAGCAAGGACAAGAGGAAGGAATCTCAATACCTATACTTTTGTATCTCAACTTTGTACCTTGTGAAAGAAATGAAATGACAGCAGAAATGGCAGAACAAAAAGCAAACGACACTCTTTGAATACCACTGTTCACAGTTAACCACATTAAGAGCCTGTGTGTACTTTTCCAGGCCTTTTTGTCCTATTCATTTATATACATTTTAAAGTATATATGGGTATATGTGTGTGTATATATATGGATACTACATGCAGTTTATTTTCACTTAGCAATGTCATAGACAAATTTGAATATTAGTATATATAGTTTTATTAGTATGTATACTTTTGATGCTTTGTTCCTTGAGCATAATGTCTGTTTCTTTCCAATATATATATTTAAAAACAGAATAAAAATTGTCCTTGCAGTGATCAGACATCTAGCAAGAGTCACCAACGTTTTCTGAAAAGGGTCACGTAGTAAGTATCTTAGGCTTTGTGGGCCAGACAGTCTCTATAGCAACTACTCAACTCTCCTGCTATAGCAAAAAAGCAGCTGTAAACAGTATGTAAACAAACGGGCCCAAGTATGTTCTTTACAAAAAAAAACTTCTTTACAAAAACAGGGGTCAGGCCAGATTTGGCTGTAAGACTTTTTTCTTTTTTTTTTTTTTGTGCTAGTCCCTGATTTCAAGCAATGTAAGAATGACAGTGACAGAAGCAGCCTTACAATTTCAAGGTTCCTAATGTTTTACCATTAGATCTGATTTTTGCTTTGACTTTCCAGTATACACATACCCTTCTAATCCTAATTAGCTAAGAGTTTATTAGCACGGTTGTAATTTTTTTTTCTTTTTAATTTTTATTGGAGTGTAATTGATTTACAATGTTGTGTTAGTTTCAGGTGTACAGTGAAGTGAATCAGTTATACATGTATCCACTCTTTTTTAGATTCCTTTCCATTATAGGCCATTAGAGACTACTGAATAGAGTTCCCTGTGGTATACAGTAGGTTCTTATTAGTTATCTATTTCATATATAGTAGTGTTTATATGTCAATTCCAATCTCCCAATTTATCCCTTCCCCCCTACCCCCCCTTGGTAACCATAAGTTTGTTTTCTACATCTGTGACTCTGTTTCTGTTGTAAATATGTTCATTTGTACCCTTTTTGTATATTCCACATGTAAGCTATATCATATGATATTTTTCTTTCTCTGTCTTACTTAGTATGACAATCTCTAGGTCCATCCATGTTGCTGCAAATGGCATTATTTTGATCTTTTTTATGGCTGCATAATATTCCATTGTATACATGTACCACATCTTCTTTATCCATTCATCTATCAATGGACATTTAGGTTGCTTCCATGTCCTGGCTATTATAAATAGTGCTGCAATGAACATTGAGGTGCATGTATCTTTTCAAATTATGGTTTGCTTCCGGATATATGCCCAAGAGTGGATTGCTGGATCATATATTAGCTCTATTTTTAGTTTTTTAAGGAACCTCAACACTCTTCTCCATGTGGCTGTACTAATTTACATTCCCACCAACAGTGTAGGAGGGTTTCCTTTTCTCCACACCCTCTCCAGCATTTATTATTTGCAGATTTTTTGATGATGGCCATTCTGACTGGTGTGAGGTGGAACCTCACTGTAGTTTTGATTTGCATCTCTCTAATGATTAATGATGTTGGGCATCTTTTCATGTGCTTTTTAGCCATCCGTATGTCGTCTTTGTAGAAATGTCTATTTGGGTCTTCTGCCCATTTTTTTTGATTGGGTTTTTTTTTTTTTTATATTGAGCTGCATGAGCTGTCTGTATATTTTGGAGATTAATCCCTTGTCGGCTGCTTCATTTGCAAATACCTTCTCGCATTCTGAGGGCTGTCTATTCATTTTGTTTATGGTTTCCTTTGCTGTGCAAAAGCTTTTAAGTTTAATTAGGTCCCATTTGTTTATTTTTGATTTTATTTCCATTACTCTAGGAGGTGGATTGAAAAAGATCTTGCTGTGATTTATGTCGAAGAGTGTTCTGCCTGTTTTCCTCTAAGAGTTTTATAGTATACGGTCTTACATTGAGGTCTTTAATCTATTTTGAGTTTATTTTTGTGTATGGTGTTAGAGAATGTTCTAATTTCATTCTTTTACATGTAGCTGTCCAGTTTTCCCAGCACCACTTACTGAAGAGACTGTCTTCTCCATTGTATATCCTTGCCGCCTTTGTCATAGATTAGTTGACCACAGGTGCATGGGTTTATCTCTGGGCTTTCTATCCTGTTCCATTGATCTATATTTCTGTTTTTGTGCCAGTACCATACTGTCTTGATTACTGTAGCTTTGTAGTATAGTCTGAAGTCAGACAGCCTGATTCCTCCAGCTCCATTTTTCTTTCTCGAGATTGCTTTGGCTATTTGGGGTCTTTTGTGTTTCCACACAAATTGTAAAATTTTTTGTTCTAATTCTGTGAAAAATGCCATTGGTAATTTGATAGGGATTGCATTAAATCTGTAGATTGCTTTGTATAGTATAGTCATTTTCACAATATTGATTCTTCCAATCCAAGAACATGGTATATCTCTCCACCTGTTCGTGTAATCTTTGATTTCTTTCATCAGTATCTTACAGTTTTCTGAGTACACGTCTTTTACCTCATTAGGTAGGTTTATTCCTAGGTATTTTATTCTTTTTGATGCGATGGTAAATGGGGTTGTTTCCTTAATTTCTCTTTCTGACCTTTCATTGTTAGTGTATAGGAATACAAGAGATTTCTGTGTATTAATTTTGTATCCTGCATCTTTACCAAATTCATTGATTAGCTCTAGTAGTTTTCTGGTAGCATCTTTAGGATTTTGTATGTATAGTATCATGTCATCTGCAAACAGTGACAGTTTTACTTCTTCTCTTCCAATTTGGATTTCTTTTACTTCTCTGATTGCTGTGGCTAGGACTTCCAAAACTATGTTGAATAACAGTCGTGAGAATGGACATCCTTGTCTTGTTCCTGATCTTAGAGGAAATGCTTTCAGTTTTTCACTGTTGAGAATGATGTTTGCTGTGGGTTTGTTGTATATGGCCTTTATTATGTTGAGGTAGGTTCCCTCTATGCCCACTTTCTGGAGTTTTTATCATAAGCAGGTGTTGAATTTTGTCAAAAGCTTTTTCTGCATCTATTGAGATGATCATATGTTTTTTATTCTTCAGCCTGTTAATGTGG